CTTTAATAACAAGTTTAATTTACTTAATAGATATGCCTAATCAGATGTTATATTTCTTCTTGTTTCAGTTTTAGTATATTGTTTTTCAAAGATGTTTTCCATTTTACATAAATTGTCAAGTTTATTGGCATAAAGTTACTCATAATATCCCTTTTTATTTTTTAAATATCTATGGGATTGGTAGTGATGTTCCTTTTTCATTCCTGATATTGGTAGTTGGTGTTTTTTTCCTTCTTGATTTGTCTTACCTAGAGTTTTTTTTTTTAAGATTTTATTTATTTATTTATTTATTTATTGGGGGGGAGGGGCAGAGAGGGAGAAATAGAAAGAATCTGAAGCAGACTAGCAGCTGAGCACAACGACCCCAAGATCATTACCTGAGCCAAAACCAAGAGTCCGACCCTTCTAGTATCAAAAACCTATAAAGAACTTAGCAAACTCAACACCCAAAGAACAAATAATCCAATCAAGAAATGGGCAGAAGACATGAACATTTTTCCAAAGAAGACATCCAAATGGCCAACAGACACATGAGAAAATGCTCAACATCGCTCGGCATCAGGGAAATCCAAATCAAAACCTCAATGAGATACCAGTCAGAATGGCTAAAATTAACAAGTCAGGAAAAGACAGATGTTGGCAAGGATGTGGAGAAAGGGGAACACTCCTACACTGTTGGTGGGAATGCAAGCTGGTGCAGCCACTCTGGAAAACAGTATAGAGGTTCCTCAAAAAGTTGAAAATAGAACTACCCTACAACCCAGCAATTGCACTACTGGGTATTTACCCCAAAGATACAAATGTAGTGATCCAAAGGGGCACCTGCACCCCAATGTTTATAGCAGCAATGTCCACAATAGCCAAACTATGGTAAGAGCCAAGATGTCCATCAACAGATGAATGGATAAAGAAGATGTGATATATATATATATATATATATATATATATATATATATATACACACACAATGGAATATTATGCAGCCACCATAACAAAATCTTGCCTTTTGCAACAACGTGGATGGAACTGGAGGGTATTATGCTAAGCGAAATAAGTCAATCAGAGAAAGACATGTATCATATGACCTCACTGATATGAGGAATTCTTAATCTCAGGAAACAAACTGAGGGTTGCTGGAGTGGTGAGGGGTGGGAGGGATGGGGTGGCTGGGTGATAGACTTTGGGGAGGGTATGTGCTATGGTGAGCTCTGTGAATTGTGTAAGACTGATGAATCACAGACCTGTACCTCTGAAACAAATAATACATTATATGTTTTTTTAAAAAAAAGAGAAGATAGTAGGAAGGGAAAAATGAAGGGGGGGAATCGGAGGGGGAGACGAACCATGAGAGACTATGGACTCTGAGAAACAAAATGACGGTTCTAGAGGGGAGGGCGGGGAGGGGATGGGTTAGCCTGGTGATGGGTATTAAAGAGGTCACGTATTGAATGGAGCACTGGGTGTTATACGCAAACAATGAATCATGGAACACTACATCAAAAACTAATGATGTAATGTATGGTGATTAACATAACAAAATTTAAAAAAAAAGAGTCTGACCCTTAACCAACTGAGCCACCCAGATACCCCGTAAGAATTTTTTTTTTTAAGATTTTATTTACTTATTTGAGAAAGAATGAGAGAGAGAGGGAGAGCATGAGAGGGGGGAGGGTCAGAGGGAGCAGACTCCCCGCCGAGCAGGGAGCCCAATGTGGGACTCGATCCCAGGACTCCAGGATCATGACCTGAGCTGAAGGCAGTTGCTTAACCAACTGAGCCACCCAGGCGCCCCCCCATAAGAATTTTTAATTGTATCAATCATTACAAAGAGCCAACTTTCAGTTTTATTGATTTCCTGTTTTTGTTTTTGTTTTTTTTTTTTTAAAGATTTTATTTATCTATTTGAGACAGAGAGAATGAGAGAGAGAGAGCACATGAGAGGGGGGAGGGTCAGAGGGAGAAGCAGGCTCCCTGCTGAGGCAGGGAGCCCTATGCGGGACTCTATCCAGGGACTCCAGGATCATGACCTGAGCCGAAGGCAGTCGCTTAACCAACTGAGCCACCCAGGCGCCCCCTGTTTTTTTTTTTTAAAAGATTTCATTTATTTATTTGAGAGAGAGAGAATGAGAGACAGAGAGCATGAGAGGGAAGAGGGTCAGAGGGAGAAGCAGACCCCCCGCCGAGCTGGGAGCCCGATGTGGGACTCGATCCCGGGACTCCAGGATCATGACCTGAGCCGAAGGCAGTTGCTCAGCCAACTGAGCCACCCAGGCGCCCTGATTTCCTGTTTTATTTGTCATCTATTTGTGTTTATATCTGTTTTCTTCCTTCATTTGATTTCTTCTTTTTCTAGCTTCTTCAGAGTAAATCTTGGATTAGTGATTTTTAATATTTCTTTTCTAACATGTGCATTTAAAGTTTTTAAATTTCCTTCTAGGTCCCGTTTTGATGTAGCAAATCCTAATTTTTACCCAGTTCAAAATATATGGAAATTTCTGCTATTACATCTTCTTTGACCCATGGATTATATTATTTAGTTTTGAAGCACTTGGGGATTTCTTGTTATATTTTTATTTTAAATTTCATTTCATTTCTTTTTTTTTTTTTTTTAAGATTTTATTTTATTTTTTGACAGGGAGAAAGAGACAGCGAGAGAGGGAACACAAGCAGGGGGAGAGGGAGAGGGAGAAGCAGGCCTCCCGCCGAGCAGGGAGCCCGATGCGAGGCTCGATCCCAGGACGCTGAAATCATGACCTGAGCCAAAGGCAGACGCTTAACGACTGGGCCACACAGGCGCCCCTCATTTCATTTCATTGTAAATAGGCTCCACATCCAGCATGGAGCCCAACATAGGGCTTGAACTCACAACCGTGAGGTCAAAACCTGAGCTGAGATCAAGAGTCAGACACTTAACTGACTGAGCCACTCAGGTACCCCCTAGTTATATTTTTAATTCTGTCTTAATTCCAATGTCAAAAAGCATACTCTGAGTCATTTCAATTCTTTTAAATTTTTTGAGGTTTTTTTTTTGACCAGAATATGGATAATTTTTATATATTTCATATGCACATTAAATATCATGTATTCTCCAGTGTGCTGTGTATGTCAGTTTATTCCAATATGATTATTGTGTTGCTCAGATTTTTACTATTCTTGGTGTTTGTGTGTATATGTCTTCTTATTCTCTCAGGAATCAAGAGAGTTGTATTAAGTCTACTATGACCGTGGATTTGTCTATTTTTCATTTCTATTCTCTCAGTTTAACTTTATATATTTTGTAATTATCTTATGAGCATATATTCAGGCTTAGAACTGATATAATACTGGTGGATTTACTTCTTTATCATTATGAAACATCTCTTTTATCTCTATACATGTAATGCATCTTTCCTCAAAGTCTCCTTTGTCTTATATGAATACAGCTACACTAGGTTTATTTTGGTTAGTGTCTGTATTATATCTTTTCCTATTTTTTTAACTTTCAACCTTTTTGTTGTATCTCACACAAACACACATTTACATGATAGCATATACAATAGTTGAACTTTTCTCATACCTAGTCTGAAAATTTTTGGTTGTTTAATGGGATCATTTAACCTAATCACAATTAATGTAATATTTGATAATTCTTCATTTATATTTACCATCTTTTTTATTTGTCCCTAAAGTTTCATTTTTTTTGGATTATTCAGATATTTGTTATTTTTCATTTTCCTTCAATTAGTGTTTTAGTTAATCTTGTAGTAATTATCCTACAGATTAAAGCATGCATCTTTGATCTACAAGAGTATAACAATTTTTTAAATTTTACTACTTCCATGATAATGCTTAGAACTCATTAACTGTATCTATACCATCTTCCTTTTACATTATTATTGTCATGAATTTAAATTTTATATATATTTTAAATCTTTTAAGAAACTACTATTTTTGCCTTCTATAGTCAATATTAATTTATATTTACCTTTCCTGTTGCTCTTCATTTCTTCCTGCAAGTCTGATTCCTTTAGGACTGTTTTCCCTCTGCCCAATGAATTCCACTAAAAGTATTTCTTTTAGTGCAGATGTGACTGTGATTAATTCTCTTGGTTTTTGTTTGAAAACTGTATTTTTGAAATAAATATTTTCTGGTAATATAAGAGTGCTAGTCTGTTTTTTTTTTTTCCCCATGACCTTAAAGGCATCATTTCTTTGCCCTTTGGTTTCATGATTTATGTGGAAAAGTCAGCTCTCCATTTTATTGTTGCTCCTTTAAGAGTAATGTGTCATTTCTTGGTACTTGCTTTTAATGTTTTCTCTTTGACTCTGGTCTTCAGCATCTTTCCTATTATATGTCTAGGTGTACTTTGTATTTTATTTCTCTTGATTTGGTTTCCCCAAGCATCTTGAGTGGTGAAGGATTTTCACAAATTTTGGAAAATTTTTGGTCATTCTCTCTTCAAACATTGCTTATTGTCTATTCCTAGTATCTCCTCTCCTTTTAGGATTACAATCATATGTATGTTAGAGTTTTTCATTATATCCCACATATCACTAATGTTCTTTTCTGTATTTTTCATTATTTTCTCCTATGCTTCTATTTGGATGTTTTACATTGGTTTGTCTTGCATTCACTAATCCTGTATTCCTTTATGTCTACTAAGTCATAAACTACCTAAATCATTTTTAATTCCAGATTTTATTTTTTTCAGTTTATAATGAATTTCCATTTAAAATTTCAATTCTCTGGTGAAATTCTCTTTTATTTATTTTCTCTATTCTTTATTTGTAACCTATTAGTCACACTTATTTTAACATCACTGTCAGTAAATTTTAGTATTTGTTTCTTCTTTAGGTCATTTGTATTGTCTGTTTTTTTTCTCTCTAGGTTTTATTCATGTTAACCAGTTGTTGTTGTTGTTGTTTTTTGTATGTGTGACTAGTAGTTTTTTACTGAATATGGAATATTTATGTAAAAAGCTCTCTAGGATCCAGATGATATTATTTTTTTCCAAAAAGAATTCACCTTTTCCTCTGTTAACTTGATAGAGACATGTCTCATCAAATTTCATTAATCCAAACAGGCACTGTGCTTAGTCAAGGTGCTTTGCAGTCCTGATAAGCACCTAACACTCCAGAATGATCAGTTGAGAACTTAGTTTATTTTCCACAGTCCCTTCCCATGACAGGTTCTAAACCCTAATCTTTATGTATCAAGACTATCAAAACTGACTCTGCTGTTCAGAGATTTTTTACTTAGGCTTTTAGTCTTCTTCCCTGGAATGTCCCTGAGTTTGACAAGTATCTTGAGGGGAAAAATTGGCCATGGGCTTGAATCTTCCAGTCTGCCAAAGGCTACTGAAGTTGCTCTAGCCTGCAGCAGGAGCCTTTTGCCTGTTCTAAGACTTAGCAAAGTTCCGCAGGGCAAACTGACTGTAAAAGTAAGTTCATAACTCCAAGAAATCTTAGCTGTTTGAGTTCTTTTTTTTTTTTTAAGATTTTATTTATTTATTTGACAGAGAGACACAGCGAGAGAGGGAACACAAGCAGGGGGAGTGGGAGAGGGAGAAGCAGGCCTCCTGCGGAGCAGGGAACCCGATGCAGGGCTCGATGCAGGGCTCGATCCCAGGACCCTGGGATCATGACCCCAGCTAAAGGCAGACGCCTAACGACTGAGCCACCCAGGCACCCCATCCCTTTGAGTTTCTTATTATATCATCTGCTGTCTGTTGCTTCAAACATATAATTTCTGAATTTTAACAAGTTTTTATGGTTGTTTCTGCTATTAGGTAATCCATCCATTCTACCTGGAAGCAGACATCCACCAAACAACTACATAACTTTTAACCTCAGCCTGCTTAAAATCTGTATTTTGCAACTTTCAGTAGTAAAGGAAGAGGGGGGGTTTTGAAGTGATGTGGGCCTTACAGTGCCTTTAGTAAAAGTTCTGCCCCCCAAACAGCATATGTTCAATTCACTATGTGCTGTACCTAAAATAATAAAGGAATTGTAAAAGATGTATATAAAAGATGATGTTAGCTAAACCTATTGTGTGTGGAAGTTATTTCACAATATATGTAATTCAAAGCATCATGCTGTATACCTTAAATTTACACAGTGATGTATTTCAATTATTTTTCACTAAAACTGGGAAGATGTACTTATAAAAGAAGCATGTGAGAAAACATAGGATTAAAATGAGCGTTATTATCAAAATATTTGGCCTCCATTCTTTATTTTTGTTTTACAACAATAGAACTGGCCGATTTTTCATAAGGTATGCATTTTGTGGAAGTTTTTTGGATCACACTTACTATTAAATTTTAATTATTGAATTTCAAAATATTGATCCATTCTACACCAAAATCTGGAATAAGGAATGATTTGTGCTTTATGAATACACACAGTAATCAATAAAATAATACACAAAGTAATTCACAAATTTACACAGAAATTCATAAACGTGGGTTTGGGTGTTTATTTGGCCAGTCTCATTTGGGCAATTACACAAATTGGACTTTTCTGACATAAACAAAAAAAGGGTGACTTGGATTTTCATAATGTTGAAATATACTGGTGAAAACTTCAATAAGATTTCTCATCATCATATATAAAAGCTATTCATTTAAATAGCTAGTAAATGGAGTAATCATTAAAGTTGACTACCATATTTTTGTCTATATATATATGTACTATTTATGTCTATAAATACATAAAACCAAAAGAAACATATACATTAAATTACACTTGAACTTCTATTTATAGGGCAAAAGGAAGGACAAGAAAGATATGATGTCCTTCATATCTTGAATCCTTTGAAAGGATTTAAGGTTTATTTAAGTATATATATATAGTATATATTAAGTGTTTAATTTTGTTCTCATTTTTATCACTTTCTCATTTCAATTTTTAGACTGGACGAAGGCTGAAAGTTATGTTTCAAGAATAACTTAACCAGTAGTTTTCCTTATTTATGTCATTATTATATCCTTAGCACAAAAAAAAGTAATTCAGGGATAAGTACAAATAATTAAATTCCAGTAGGATGACCCTTGAGATTTAAAAATAAATATTTAGGGCGCCTGGGTGGCTCAGATGGTTAAGCGTCTGCCTTCAGCTCGGGTCATGATCTCAGGGTCCTGGGATCGAGTCCCGCATCGGGCTCCCTGCTCCTTGGGAGCCTGCTTCTCCCTCTGCCTTTCTCTCTTGCTCTCTCATGAATAAAATAAATAAATAAATAAATAAAAATAATAAAAGTAAATAGATTATAAAGCAAGCTCTTCAATTGCTCACATTGTGCCAAAAGTTCAATTAAGAGGTTTTACACTTATATCGATATAAATTTAGTTGGAAACGACATGATCAGCTTACTTTGCTTATTGAACACAACATAAAACAATTATACTTCAGATTTCTTAATTCCTATTTCTATTCTATTGTCCAAAATGACAAAATAATGCTCATTTCTTATAAATGAAATTTAGCATAATTGATAAAGTAAATTTACATAAAATACCTCAAAGCTACATTGAACAGAAGATAACTTGGACATCAAAAATTAAACATCTTGTTGAGAAAGGATGTTCATGTCTGCAAAGTAATTTAAAGCGAAAATCTCCTATCACCCAATAACCTTGAATAGGCCTGAATAGAATAACCGAAACTCAGAAGAAATTCTCTGACTCTTTTGAAAGGTGGGGAGAAGCTGCAAGAAAACCAAAAGAAACATACACATTAAATTACACTTGAACTTCTATTTATAGGGCAAAAGGAAGGACAAGGAAGATATGATGTCCTTCATATCTTGAATCCTTCGAAAGGATTTAAGGTTTATTTAAGGTTCTGAAATTGTTTTAAAGGATTTTACTAAGCAATGACTTAGTTTTGGTTAGTGAGCATGCCAAATTATAGAAGATTTTCATTATTGCTTATAAATGAGAATATTTTTTTTAAATTTAATATTCATATTTATGGAACACATACAGTATGCTAGGTAAGTAGCAGGCAATTACATTTTTTAAATTCTAGCAAGTATGGCGTTCACAATAGGAAGTCACAATTTTAGTGTCTTAATATTTTAATCAAAATGCATGTTTATGTACAATTTCAGAGAAACAAGTAGGTTAAGTTATACGCTCATGGCTTTTCAGGGGCATAGCCTGGAGGATAGTCAAAAAGGCCTAGGTAGCTAAAAGAATTTCAAATACTCTAAAGATAAAGCTAATGGTAGAGACAAACACCACAAATATATAGAAATGCACAATTACACAAAAGCTTGAAGACAGTAAAGAGTTGATTTAAATAAAAATTTCCTAAAGTACTTGAGCAATTTATGGTTATGGAAAGACTAATCACCAAGAGAAGGTCAAATATAGAGAATATACATACTCCATAACCAGTGTAACTGAAAATGCTAAGTCCAATGAATATTAATAAAAGGAGGAAAATTTAGCCCAATCAGGGACATGCATAAATTTGGAATAGAGATATACATATTTAGACAACAAAATTTCTTAAAAGAAAGGCATTGCAATGGGAGTTAGGTTTGCCAAAATTAAGGAGAGGCTGACTTGACCAAATACACTCTTCAACTGAATACAAAGCTATTCCTGCAGTTGAGGTTTTCTTGAATTTCTCTCAGTGTCCTCCATCAAGAGGCTGGGAAATACCGCCTGGAGGAATTTGAACTCACCAGTCCCAGGGGCTCCCGTCAGACACACGTCATACTGGTAGCTGTGCGACAGGGTCCCCGCGCCGCTGACGTCCAGCAGGTGGCCCGCGAAGGGGCCCTCGGGCAGCGAGCAGCCGCCCCCCGCCGCGGCCCGGCTCCTCCTGCCCAGCCGCACCGCCACGAACCCCAGCACCGCCACCAGCAAGAGCGACGACACCGACGCCAAGGCCACCACCAGGTGGACGGTGAGCGGGTCGGCCCGGGCCTCGGCCGCCGCCGCGGCCGGGAGCGGCAGGTAGGGCTGCGAGAAGCCGTCCACCAGCAGCACGTGCAGCGTGACGCTGGCCGACAGCGGCGGCTCGCCGTTGTCCTTGACCAGCACCAGCAGCCTGTGCCGGACGGCGTCGCGCGCGCTCAGCGGCCTGGCCGTGCGCACCTCGCCGTTGTGCGCCCACACGCCGAACAGCCCGGGCTCCGTGGCCCTGAGCAGCTGGTACGCCAGCCAGGCGTTCTGGCCCGAGTCGCCGTCCACCGCCACCACCTTGGTCACCAGGTAGCCCGCCTCGGCCGCCCTGGGCACCAGCTCGGGGCAGCGCGCCGAGCCGTTCTGCGGCGGGTACAGCACGAAGGGCGCGTTGTCGTTGGCGTCCCCCACCAGCACGCGCACCAGCGCCTGGCTGCTGAGCGCCGGCGAGCCGCGGTCGGCCGCGCCCACGCGGAACTCGAACGCGCGCAGCGCCTCGAAGTCCAGGGAGCTGAGCGCGAACAGCTGCCCGGTGGCCGCGTTGAGGGACACCAGCGAGGCCAGGGGCAGCCGCGGGTCGTGCGGCGGCAGCAGCGAGTAGGTGACCTGCGCGTTGGCGCCCGCGTCTCTGTCCGCGGCGCTCACGCGGCCGATGTGCAGGCCGGGGCTGTTGTTCTCGCGCACCCGCAGGGTGTAGGCGGTGTGGCTGAAGGCCGGCGCGTTGTCGTTCACGTCGGACACCGTCACCGTCATGTGGTGCTGGGTTTGCAGCCTGGGGGTGCCCAGGTCAGTGACGGTGATGGTGATGTTGTACTCGGCCTGGCTCTCTCTGTCCAGCGGTCTCTCTGTTACTAGGGTGTAAAAGTTCTTGAAAGTCGGTTTCAGAAGGAACGGCAGATTATCTGGTATAGAGCAAATCATCTTTCCATTGTCTCCAGAGTCTCGATCTCGAATTCTAAAGATAGAGACTACAGTCTCAGGAGCATTTTCTGGGACGGAGCTGGTGAGTGAAGATATGATAAGTTCAGGGGCGTTGTCGTTCACATCCACCACATCTATGAATACAGTGCCTTTTCCAGAAAGACCTCCTCCGTCTATAGCCTCAATTTCCACGTGGTAAGATTTAATTTGTTCAAAATCCAGTTTCTTTGTCAGTCGGATTTCTCCTGTGACTTCATTTATTGAGAAAGTTTGTTTAATTTCATCTGATGCTTGGAACAAGCCATAGGAAACACTCCCGAAGTGTCCAGCATCTACATCTCTAGCTGAGACACTAAGTACTGGGGAGTCCAGGGGGTTGTTTTCCAAGACCTGCACCTCATATGGGGTGTGCACAAACTCTGGAGCATTGTCATTGACGTCCATGATCAGGATTCGCACTGTGATGGTGCCAGACTTAGGTGGAGACCCACCATCCAGTCCCGTGAGGGTTAAGCTGAACTCAGGCTCCTCTTCTCGATCCAGCGGTTTGTCCTGCACCAAATCTGGGTATTTCTTACCTTCACTGTGATTTCGAGTTAGAACATGAAAATGAGAATTGGGGCTGATAGTGTATTTTTGAAGACCGTTGCTGCCCACATCCAAATCCTGAGCTAATTTCAACGGAAACAGAGTCCCTGGCTGGCTGTTTTCCGGTATTTTCAAGAGCATTTCCCCAGTCGGGAATACTGGGGAGTGGTCATTTACGTCCTGGATTGATAATTCTCCTTCAAAAAATTGAACCGGCGTTTCTAGGAACACTTGGAAATGCAGTACACACGGTTCAATAGGGCCACATAGCTCTTCCCGATCTAGTTTCTCTCTCAAAAGCAAATCTCCAGTCTGACGATCCAGCTGCAAGCGCTGTTTGTCATCATCAGACACCACCCGGGCCGACCGGGCGGCCAGTTCCCCAATTCCCAGGCCCAGATCCTTGGTCAGATGGGCTACAAAGAAGCCACTCTCTGTTTCTTCCATCACAGAATAACGAATAGGCTCAGCAAGAGCCTGAGACAAGAACACCATCAAAATAAAGACCATCACTTGCCTGTTTGGTTGAATTCTCTCTAGCGTCTCCATATTGGAGACCCGGTGCTTACATCCAATCCCTTCTAGCACTCACAGAGATACAAAATTCTGATTTCTTGTTTGTTAGAGTCCTCACAAAGTTGCTTTTAATCTTAAATTCGTTTAGTATATCGCAGTCCAAACTCGCTGGTAACCCAGCACGGCTGGCAAAGCTCCTCGCGTGTATTTTTGATTCCTTTTTGCAACAAAGGAGTGCGCGAGCTTTTTAGGGCTCTTTATTCACAATCTTAGCCTGCAGCGCCACCCTGCGTCTCGATTGAGAAATTAATATTCTCAAGTCAAAGCACATTTTGGTGGTGTCCAAATGTAAGCTATTTTTTAAAGTGTTTAGAACTTTCACAAACTTTTTTTCCCATTAAATTGAATTATTTATAAGGTTACACATTATATTGCATGAGCTAGAGTAATTGTGAGCACAAAGCAAGAGGATACCCTGGTCTCCCCACACTCTAATCAGTGGAACTTCAAAGAACTCCATTTCCCCTTTATGTAATCTAACCAGGGGAGATAAATTCTTCTAAAATTGTAATTCATAATAGTTAATATTTGTTTATTTCCAAGTAGGTGAGGAATTTATGATTATGCAAAAGTTTGTTAAGGTGTTTGGTGTCACGTGACCTCAGGGAGACTATTTTTCAAAGGGAAGCTTCTATGTCCCTACACTGCTATACAAAAAGTAGTATAGTTGAATGAAGAGGCATCTTGCTTTGTTATAAATCCTTTTACAGTGTGAACTCACATTAATTTTAAAAGGAAATCAAACAGTACTACAGTCAGATTCTCAGACCTGGATAAGAAATGAAACGGGTTTTACAGATAAGGAAACTGAAGCTCAGAGGGTAATAGGACTTGATTACTTGACTATTATCAGAATAATATAAAGACAAAATCAAGTGAGTAAGAATCATTAAATTTTGTTAAGGTAAAGGCTTTAAGCTTAAACTTACTTAGATAGATATCTCTATATTATAATAAGTTTACTTCTTACTATATTCATCCTTTGTATCCCAGATACCATATTCTTCAAGCAGCTGATATGGGCCAAATAAGAAGCCCTGATTTAAAGCATTTTAATCTGTGAGCAAAGGATGCCTCAGGCCTTGTCTATTCATATATCATAAAGAGGAGAGGCTTATTTATAAAATGGATTCCAGCACAGTGTGCAGCTATTGTGATTGCCCTGAAATAGTAAGTTAACTGAGATACAGTTAAGCAGTTTATCGGTTACAATTAGTATATTGAGTGGAGTACCACTTATTTTGGCACATACAGGATTTTCCCTTCTTAAATATCTTGGCATTTCATTTAATTACTTAATTGACTTAATAAATTATAATTCATGTTGAATGAATTATTTTAAAAGCATGTTAATACTTAAATTCTGAGTGACAGAAAGTATTAGAAAAAATACTCTTGAAAGAATCTTGGATTATGGTAGTCATTCAAAAATGTCAAATGAATAAATAAATTAATCCATTCTAATGATCATGTTTCTATTTATATAAGATTATTGCCAGATCATATATTCAGCCATGAACATGCCTGAAAATCAACATAGAATTCTCAGAGAGTATAATACATGCTAAGTACTATTCAATTAAATTTACTTTGATTCCAGTTCTAGTAATTAATTCCTATAAGAGACATAGCAATGGTAATAATAACATTAATACACTTTAGAATTCTTTCACATTTAAAGCAAATCAGAGGAGAATACAATATATATGACCATTAAGTGAAATAAAAAATGATAAAACACTGAAAAGAGCAAAAAGCAAAAATATTATTTTAGATATAAATGGAAAACAAATACCCTGGGCAAAACAAAGAGCAAACTGCTTATAATATAATAACCAAGCTCTAGTTAGATTCAAGTTAAAGTGTTCAGAACAAAACTCAAACCAAACTATATTTTGTTTACTTATTGCTATATGTTGACACTGAAATAGTGTTGCAAATCAGCTCTTTTCAATTCCTTTTTGTCAATGCAAAGCAAATGAAATTTAGATAATATTAACACATATGTGCAACTATATGCTAGATATTATTCTAAGTATTTACACATATTAGTTCATTTTATCCCCCAACAATCCTACGAGGTGGACACTCTTATTAGCCACATTTTATAGATGAAGAAATTGAGGTATAGAGAGTTTAAATAACCTGCCCATAATCACACACCATATGAAATGGCAAAGCTAGGATTCAAACTGTTAGTGTGGCTCCAGAACCTAATCTCCTATCCACATAAGTGGAATTGGAGAAGTGAACAACTTTTTAGATAATTTGGATCCAAACTTCAGCCTTGACTTGGTTACAGAGATATCATAGGTGATATATTTGTGTTCAAGTCTGCAATTAATATAAGAATCTTTAAAACAGTCTGTCTTCCTTTAGAGATAGACACCAGGAAAAAGAGGTGCTTACAAAACTTAGAAACTGGAAGGGAAACCAGTAGTGTTTTGTTGAGATCATTAATTAGATAAAAAAAAAATAAGTGACACATATTATGAATTCCCTGTAGCCTTGATTATTGGAGAAAAAGATATCTATGTATGGATCTTTTGAAATGTTATTAGGGTGTAAAGTTAAAAGCAAGAAAGACGACTTAAGAGGGCAGTCTTACATCATGAATTATTCCCCTCAAGAAATTGCTAAACTTAGAAAGAAAATCTATTATGTTTTACCTGCATGGAGGAGGAGTTAATGATATCAAGGGTGACCTCCTGAAAAAACATTCTATTCCAGTCAGGAAAGTTGCATTATCCATCCTGAAGGATTCATACTACAACAACTTACACAATTTTCACCAGACCTGAAACATGACTTTTAAAGTATTTTTTCCATGTTGATTATACAGAGAGAGAGAGAGAGAGAGAGAGAATAGTTTTGATTCCTCCCTGGTAAAGTATAGTGTAGGCAAGAACTTTAAATTTCCTTGAAGAAAAGATAAAAATCATTTTAAAGGAATTTGAATACAAGTAGGCCAAAAGTTCAAAATGCAAAATCCATACTCTGAAGTTTTGAATACTCTCACTTGTTTAGAAAAAAGTGAGAGAATCTTTTTTTAAACTTCATGATGACTTGAGGGCTGTTCTTAATGTGAAGGGGGAGAGTAGAGGGAAATTAAACATTAGTTGTTGAGAGAAAGATTAATTGGTGCAATAGGAATTAGATTTTAACTAGTATTTTTAGTTCCTTAAATCAAACTTCAATAGTATTATCTCAAAATATTAAGCTAACATTAATAATTGGTCAATATTGATGGTTTATGGATTTTGTTAGAAATTCTTATAAATATTTGAGATCTACTAGATAGATAAATTAGATACATTGGCTGGCCATTTGAGTGAAATAACTATAAAGCAAATGATACTGCTCACTGGTGAAAGCAAACTAAAATTTAATATCAGTTAAAATTCCAAACTAAACCTTTAAGATAGTTTTAAAAATCACATTTATTGGGACACCTGGGTGGCTCAGTCGGTAAGCGTCCAACTCTTGATTTTGGCTCAGGTCATGATCTCAGGGTCCTGAGATTGAGCCCAGCACTGGGCTCCATGCTGAGTGTGCAGCCTGCTTAACACTCTCTCTCCCCTCCCCCTCTCTCCCTCTGCCCCTCCCCACTCGCAGTCACGTGCTCTCTCAAATAAATAAGCAAATAAAATCGCATTTATTGAAATGTAAATTTTGAAAGGAGATATCTAAATAATGAGAATTTGACTTGAGAAATTTATGGTGGAATCTAAGATAATTTCTAGTAATTCCTTGTAGTACATACTAAATAAAAAGTATTTGTATGTTTAATGTATCAAAATGTTCAAAATCTGAAGTCTAATTTATCATACATCTTTGAACCCAGAAAGTATGAGTCCTCCAACTCTGTTGTTCTTTTTCAGGGTTGTTTTTGCTCTCCTGGGTCCCTTGCATTTCCGTATGAATTTTAAGGTCAATTTGCCAATTTCTGCAAAAAAAAAAAAAAAAAAAGCCTGCTGGGACTCTGATAAGGATTGCATTGACTCTGTAGACCAATTTGGGAGGTATCACCATCTTAACAATATTGAGTCTTCCAATCCATGAACACTTTCCATTTACTTAGGTTTTCTTTAATTTCTTTCAGTGATGTTTTGTTGTGCTCAGTGTAAAATCTTGCACTTATTTTGTTAAACTTGTTCCTAAGCATTTTATTCTTTTTGAAGCTATCATAAATGGAATTGTTTTCATTTCAGTTTTGGATTTTCCAACGCTAATGTATAGAAATGCAATTGATTTTTTAGGATTATTTATTTATTTATTTACTTAGAGTGTGCATAAGCAGGGGTAGGGGGTGGGAGAGGGGCAGAGGGAGAGAGAGAGAGAGAGAGGAAGCAGACTCTCCACTGAGCCAGGAGCCCTATGCGGTGCTCTATCCCAGGACCCTGAGATGGCGACCTGAGCTGAAATCAAGAGCTGGACGTTCAACCAACTGAGCCACCCAGGCATACCTCCTTAGGATTTTCTTTATGCAAGATGATGTCATCCACAAATATACTTTAACTTCTTCGTTTCCAATCTGAATTATTTTCTTTTTCTTGCCTAATTGCCCTGGCTGCATTTCCAGTACAGTATTAAATAAAGCAGTGAGAGGAGACATCCTTGTTCATTCCTCATCTTAGGGAGAAAGTCTTTCACCATTCAATATGAAGTTAGCTGTGGGTTTTTATCAGGTTGAGGATATTCCCTAGTCTTCCTAGCTTATTGAGTGTTCTTATCATGAAAAGGCATTGGATTTTGTAAAGCGCTTTTTCTGTGTAAACTGAGATGGTAATATGGTGTATTGCACTGATTGATTTTCATATGTTAAACCAACCTTTAATTTATGGGGTGAATTCTACTTGGTCATGGTGTATAATCCTTTTTATATGTTGCTGGAGTTAGTTTGCTAATATTTTGTTGAGAATTTTTGCATCTATATTCATAAGGAATACGGTATATAGTTTTCTTGTATTATCTTTGTCTGGTTTTAGCATCACGATAATATGGGTCCCATAGAGTGAACTGGGAAATGGCCCTTGCTCCTCTTTTTATAATTGGATTTGTGAAGGACTGGTGTTAATTTTTTAAACATGCAGTAGAATTCTAGTTCTGGGTCTTTCTTTAAAAGTTTTCTTGGAAAGTTTTTGATTACTGATTAAATCTTCTTGAATA